TTTTTTTTTTTTTTCGGCTTTTGATTTTGGTAACTAACTCTAGGAGGAACCGCGGGACCAATAAAGTCTCCATAGACCTAAGGGACCTCAGAGGAATTGCCTCATACAAACATATTAAACATTGTGAATATTTTGTTTTGGTTAGATTTGATGTTCTGCGCAGTTATGTTATGTATGCTATGGTCTATTTACTAGCTATTTGCTATAACAGGGTATGATAATATGCGAGGGGGTTCGTTATTTGCATGTGCTGGACGGACAGACAGACACACTCCAGGATGTGCAGTCGCACAGAACACTGGCAAGGACACGTCGTCGTGTTCTGGGCCATCGCACAGCTTGTGGCTGTTGAGATGGCTACTGTTTGAACAAAAATGATTCATTTTCCCTAGTGGGACTCTAAAAGACTGGATGGTTGGTGCGGAGACCATCATAGAACTGCGGAGAAGGGTGTACCTGTTCGGAGGGGGAGGGGTCAAGATAGCATGACAATATACAGGCTATGATATCATAGAGGAATGCAGCTTTGGAGTCAGGGGATGGGGATGTCAAGAGCATGATGATGAGTCGACTGTATCCAAGCTCCGAGCCAGTAAAATACCTCTAGCTCCAGCTATTTACAAAACGCCATCCATCCTTAATATCGGGTAACTCAATAGCTCCTCCGCTTCCCACCAACCTGTTCCCCCATAAGGAGCAGCAATAATGTCTTGACCGATCCAACATCTTACGCCTTCCCCTTCCTCTTCTCCTTTTTCATTTTCGGTTTCGGTTCCGGACCGCTGGTGAGCCCAGGCATGTCTCCTGCTAATCCTTGTTGTTGCATTTCCAACATGGCTTCTTTGAAAGGATTATCGCTCACGCCACCACCTGTGAGTGCTGGGGAGTGGAAAGGTAGGATAGTTCCGATTTTCCAGCCCCGAGGCGCAACTGGCGGCGGTATCGGTTTGTCCGGGACAGAGAGCCCATGGATACGGAGGCGGAAAGGTGATTCTTCAGTGGTTGGGTGGGCGCGGAGGTACTGTGCGACTTTAATATAAAGATGGTGCTCTATGGAGGGATCAAAGCAGATTAGCTGAGTAATTGAATCGAAAGAGGAAAAAAAAAAGATTAATATCTGTAGAAAGAATGTGTTAGATAAGAAAAAGAAAACTCAAAACATACTGTTTTTCACAGCATTTGTTAGTGGAGTGCCGTCTTCCATTTTCAACAACACTCTCACTCGGCCCGGGTTTGCCCAATCTTTGGGATGCAACTTGTCCGGTTCCAGCCCAACCTGCAGGCCCAACACCTGGACGGCATCCACGATATCTCTTGCCAGCGGATTCTCTACAGCAAGGCTTTTGTTGACTTTCCTCCCCTCTGCACGGGACCTGGTTTTGTCGAAATACACGGGATACAGACATTGGTAGTTGCGTGGAACATCTCTATTGGTTGATTGAATGTCGTTGGATTGGGGAGGGCGGCCTTGTGTCTGGGCTTGTGTCTGGGGTCGTGGAGTCGGTCTCGAGGCGTATGAAGCGGGAGTGTTGGCAAGGGTAATAATGGAATTTTCAGCAGCGAAATTGGTGGGACTGAAGTCGGCGGGATCCATGTCATCTGGATCGGAATCCGAGACCTCTTCCGCCCTGGCATGGCGCGACATTGTGGGCGGAAGGAGTAGGGAGAAAAGGGTAGTACTCGTGAATGATGAGTCTGTCTTTGTAGGTACTCTGCGAGGTCAGAGGTGTGGGTGCTCTCTTTTGGGTTCTGGTGTAGTATTACAGTAGTGATGAATATTGTTAACTGGGATACACAGGTTGTCTCTAAGATATATATCGATGTAGCAGCTATTTGGCCAGTCAGATCAACCAGTTAGTTTTAAGTTACGGAGTAACTTATTTGGTTTAAAATTCAGCCCGGGCAAACCTTCGGCGTGGCTTAGTCACATTTAAATCTATTCATTTTCACCAAATCATTAAATATGGTCGTACAAAATCAAAAGATCAAGCTTCCAATCAAAAAGGCTTCTCTTAGCCATTGAGGTCTATAAAACAAGTCAAATTTCATATATTATAACTGCTGTCAAAATGTATGATATTTAACTATTCATCTTACATGATTAAATCAAGAAAAATAAAATAAAATAAAATTTTTAACTTCTAATAAAAAGTGTCACGGCTTCAATCTAGGCGCAGGTGAAAACAGGTGTTCGATTGCCAACTAGGTAAGCTATCTCAATGAAATACTAAGATGGTTCCTAAAAGATGGGTTCGGGGAAGGCTCTGTTTATATACCCCTTTCCTTAGCGCGGTTCTACGCTGTTGCTAGAGAGTTGCAATTACCCTTTTCAGCCCAGTGGCCTTACACTGTTGAGAAATCTGGATAGAGCCTGTTCTACACCATTACATTACACCTCTTTTAAAGTCTAGGAATGCCCTCATGTTGATAGATTATCATCTGCTTTATCTGCTAAATAGTTATATTTTTTTTCAAATTTTTAGTCATTTATTCAATCATTTTGAAGGTTCTACTTTTATTGAATTTATGATATGAAGAAATTCTTTAATCAAATATAATGATTTTTTTAAATTTTGTATTAAATATTATATTAAATCATCATCAAATTTTAGTCATTTTATTTAATATTGAAGTTTCTCATGAAAAATGTAACTTGCTAGAATATTTTCAATCTTTTACTTATTTTATAAGGACACTAATGTAGATAAACTAAGTATCAAAAGTAAGTATGAGAAGCTTTATAACTAAGGTCATAAGAGGGGAAGTATATAGACGCTGTGAGCACTATAGAAGGAAGAGAATAGCAATGAATGAAATGTATATATAGGATTGAATAGTAGCTAATCACTGAATCTCTCAAAGAAACTTTGAGAATTGAGAGTATTTATATATATGAATGAGTAGCAATAGATTTTATCTCTAATCTTTCATAAAATGAGGAATTAGCAATGCAGTGATCTAAATCTTCATGAAGTGCTGATTTTATTCTTCAGGAAGTGCTGATGCTAAAGAACTGATTTTTGAGAAATACTGATCTGTGTTAATTTTGAATACTGAATTTTGAGATGATGTTGATTTTTTAGAAGATATTGATTCTAAAGTGCTTTGATAAGCAGTACAAAGATAAGTGCTTTAGTAAGTGAGTGTGAAAATCTAGAGAATTTGATTTTAAAGTACTTTGATAAGCAGTATAATAAGTAGTGTGAGAACAAGAAGCTAGTATAAAGAGCTTTGACATCACAGTTGCCCTCTTTTTTACAAACACTAACCTCAGCAGCTCTGAAAGATAGTTGATATAGAGATGTAAGCATGAAGTGTTTATTAATATAGAAAATAACATTTATAATACTTATTCAGTAATGTTGAGAGACTAATTGTGTGAGATTATTGTCATAATAGCATTTATTGCTATAAGAATGAAAAGAGAAAATATCTTTTACTTTTTAAACTTTTCTTTCTTTACAATTTAACAATTAAAATCATTATAGATTTCTTGCAGTTAATGCTGTCTCTGATTTTGAAGCTTTTCTCATTTCTTTCTTATCTATATCAATATGACAGAATTAATTTCTGTATTCTTTGAGTGAGCTCTTCTGTTTTTTAGTGTGTTTGATGTCATTATATGTGTGATGACAGTTTAACAGATCTACTGAGTCATAGCTTATGATTATTTGATCATGTGACTAACTTTGTCTTAAAGATATTCTTTGTGAGTGATGTTTACTCAAGCTGAGTAGTTTGTTTGTGATGTGTAATTATTCCTGTCATGAAAAACACTGTGATTCTTATTATCTTGTGCATAAATCATGTATCTGAGTGAGTATAGTGCATCTTTAGCTTCCTTGCTCATTGTGATGACTGATAATTATTTACATAGCTTGCTTTTTCTTCTGAGTTAAGTTGACTGCTTGTTTTTCAGTGTTTTTTGTTCTTTGCAGAATGAGTGAAGTCAGTGAAGATTTCACATTATTAAGTCAAGCTGCTGTATCTGATAGCATTGTTGACAGCTTTCTCTCATGTTGTTCATTCTGTAAAAGCTCATACTGCTGTTTTGATTGATATTGTCTCTTATACTCAGTGCCAGATTGAGACTGCAGATGTGCTGATAGTATTTTCTGAGAATGAGAAGTGAGAGAATACAAAGAAAGAAGTTATATATGAGATGAAGAACTCTAAGTTAACTGAGAAGAAGAGTATTAAGCTTGAAAAGAGAAAAATTATTGTTTCTGAGCAGTATATGATGACTGTGATGATTGTGAATAAAAATTAAGTCAGAGAAAACTAGAGATATACATCTGAGCTTTTGACTTGTTTAGACAATAGTGAAATAAATTTATTCTGAAGACTTGATAATTTTTAATACCTTGCTTGCCTCATTAAAACCATATAAAAAAAAACTTATTTGAAAAAAAGTAGTGAAAAGAGTACATGTATAAGAAAGAATTAAAGCTTAGTACACTTTTCAGAGTAAGTCTGATGCACTTATTACTGTAGTTTCTGTTGTTTAAAAATATCAAATATCTCAGTCTTTTGAATATTTTCAAGTGATTCTTATATATTATTTGAAGATTTATAGCTCTTTTATTGTACACAGTATTGTTCTTCACTCTGATATTTTTCTTTCTTTAATATCT